GAGGTCGGCGGGGTGCTGGTTTGCGGGGCAGCGGCAAACAAAACGTCAGCGGGAAGCGAGGTGTTGCGTGACAGGCGCGGGGGAGAGCTGCGTTCCACTTCGTACCGGAAGTGAGGGCGCGCGGGGTTGTTGGTGCACGTCAGGAAATAAAATTCACTGGGCTGATGACTTGCTTGCCTATCGATTATTTTTTTGACGGCAGACATCCCCATTATCTTGTTTTCCGGAGACCTGAGCATCTGAAAAGTCGCGTGCTGACCTCCGTTTGTAACTCTGGGGTGGCCTCTGGGACTTTAAAGGAACCGCATGCGCTGCAGAACCTGTTTCTTTGCAGTGCGCGTAGGCCCCTAAGTTCTTACAAGTGAGAACAAAATAAACGTAAAAAAAAAAAAAATCACGTGAAGATTGTCTGTTGGCAAGGGTTGTTCTTAAAAACTTTTTTCCCAGCTTTTTTTTCTAGCATGAATGTTTTAACTTCTTTGCCACCGGACTTATGTAGTACTGTGGGGTGGTTTTTTTTTTTGCTCTTTCTGCTTAGGGATTGTATATCTATTTTCATTTCTTTTTTATTTAGTAAGGTTTTTTTGGAGGTTTTTTATACGTTGTGGTCAAGAGCAAAATTTTGTAGTTTTCCCAATGGCATACATTAACATTTTTACCTTGGGCTACAGGAATGTTAAGCTGTTAAAGTTAAGGAACTAACAGCTTCAGGTACAAAAGCTGCTTGACCTCTCCAGAGGATAGTTCATCACTTCAGGCTACACACAGACTCTTAAAAACGGTTGGGTTTTTTTGGCAGTCAACCTTTGGGCAACCCTCTTTAACTTAATGTGCTGTGTTTTTTTGATAAAGTTGGAGGATAACGTGGCTGTGTTGCCAGAGACTTGTGTTATCATTTTACCTCAGGCTACTTCTCTAGTACTTCCTGAGCTTGGGGGTTTTTTGTTGAAGGTCAGAACGCTAATTTACACCCCAGGTGAGGATATAATTTGAAAATGTCATGGAAGCCCAAACTGAAATCTTTCTAACTTCTGAAAAAAAAAAAAAAATAGGAATTTCTTGGCAAAAAAAAGTTCACTGTTATCTCTTTGTAACATGATTTGCTTCTGGCTATGCTCTTAGTTTGATCTAATTTTATTTAGTGGTTACTTATGACTTGTGTACCTTACCTTTTCTCGCTCCGTTTTGGAAATTTTTCCCATAGTTTTAAGTGTCCTCTTGCAAAAGCGGAGGGGTTTTTTAGATGTAATAATTTGAAACTAAATTAATTTTGATTATATGTAATTTCAGGGTTGTTCACAAGAGCATTTTGTTGACATTGATCTCTCTTTTGGTCTGCAGAAATTTCATTTTGTGTTTTATATTTCCACTGTACGTGTGGACTAAAAGTCATCATATGTTATTTCTTAAATCTATTCAAGATGTTCAGTGTTGTGTCTTCCCCTGTGTTGGCAAACTGGTCCTTACAGACCAGTCATGACAAATTAAAAGGTGATTAAACAAGGTCAGCAGTTTCTCATCTGTTCTTCTTTGGAGTGTTGAGCACAGCTGCTCTGCTGGCTTCTTATAAAAACAACACAAGTCTGGAGTACAGTAAAATTACACAGACTGTTTTTAAAACACTAATAATTACTTCATAAATTGCATCTGTCCCTTGGTAGTGCTTGATTGCAAAATGGTAGGCATGGTTTGTAAATGAATATTAGAAGTGCTGCTTAGCACTTGAAGACAGACTTTTGGAATGGTTATGTAGCAGAGAACAAATTCTTCTAGTTTCCATGATACTGTATCTTGAGCTTAATGGACTATGCTTCCAAATCTGCTGTGTGACTACTTTATAATTGCTGGTGCATATAGTCTGATACAGAAGAATGTCTAAGTAGCACTGAATAAAACAGACACTCTGCAGATATTAAAAAAAAAAAAAAAAAAGACACAAACCAACAATTTTTATTACGAGTTGGATGATACCTTGTATAAATTATTTAAGTGGCTTGAAAGTTATGTATTCTGATTGCTGCAGAGTAAGGAATGTAAAGTATGTGTTAAAATGTAACATGTCTATGATATTTTGCTAAGAGACTATGTACTAATAGGCCTAAACTGAGTCAAAAGCAACACAAGATGTTAACTTGTAGCTCTAAACACCTTGCGGCTTCTATAGAAATCTGACAGCTGAAGCTTGTATCTTTTCATGTGCAGGTGATACAAACCTGTACATGGCAGATTTCTAAATCACTAAGTGCTGGTGGGAACCACCTGTAGTGCCAAAGTATCTGGCAGAGCCAGTAATATGCTGGTTACTTGTGGAGAAAGTCGCACTTCAAAATATTCTGAAGCAGATTCACAATAGCACTCAGCTAGACTTGAAGTAGAAGCATAGAATTCGATTCATTTCTATGGTTATTAATGTGCCCATTCTGGCTTGTGTAATGAGGCTGGAAATAGAGTACAGACTTTTAAAAAAAATGCAACAATGAGGTTTTCGTATAGGTGAATGTTAAATTGCTACCTCTGATATTTGATTATGTGTGTGGAGGTAAATAGTGTTGTTGGGTTTTTTTTTTTCTCTTTTATCAGATCACCCAGAAGACACAATGAGTGTTAAAGCTTTCAAGCTCGTTTCTGCTGTTGAGCGGGAGATGTTAATGGGAGACAAAAATTACATCAACATTGAATGCATTGAGTGTTGCGGGAAGAACCTCTATATTGGAACCAATGACTGCTTTATCTATCACTTTCTGTTGGATGAAAAGATCTCAACATCTGGAAAAATAACTTTTGCTGCCACCAAGCAACTGCACAAATACCTGGGCTTGAAGAAGCCTGTGAGTGAGTTGAAAGCAGCCTCTGCCCTCACCAGGCTTCTTGTGCTTTGCGACAGCACAATAACACTAGTTAACATGATGAACTTGGAACCTGTCCCCACTGGTGCTAGAATCAAAGGAGCTGTGACATTTGCATTAAATGAAAACCCTGTGAGTGGGGACCCTTTCTGTGTCGAAGTCTGCATTATCTCGGTCAAGCGGCGGACCATTCAAATGTTCATGGTGTTTGAAGACAGAGTCCAGATAGTGAAGGAAGTGTTTACTCCAGAGCAACCCTGTGCTGTGGCTGTAGATGGTTATTACTTATGTCTTGCACTTACTACACAGTATATAATTTTGAATTATAATACTGGCGTCTCCCAGGATCTATTTCCTTATTGCAGTGATGAGAAACGGCCAATTGTGAAAAGGATAGGCAGACAAGAGTTTCTATTGGCTGGCCCCGGAGGTCTAGGTGAGACTAAGGATTGTAATTTTTTTGCAATTTTTTTTAACTCCTCTCTCTTAATTTCTCTCAATTTGGGAAGCAAAGCTTAACTAATTAAGTGTTGTGCACAATAATGATAATTTTCTTCACAGGACTATACTGGAATGTTGAGATGAAAAGATAGATGGTACTAAGTATTGCTATAACTCTTCTGCTTTTTTTTTAATGCACAAAAATCTGATTATTTGTCTTTTACTCATGTCTGTAGAAGCCTTCATTTCTGTACAGACAGCTAATAGTTGTAGTATCTTGCAGCCCAGAGTAAAAAAGTTGGTTGGTACCAAGTGAAAATTTCAGAGGTTGTTAGCCTCTCTGCAGTGACTAGCCAGACTGGGTTTGAGGAACCCCATGTTGCTATAAAATCGTTAAATTAGTATAGACGAGTTATTTTTTTCCTCAGCTGCTATTCAGAGGAGTTCATACGAAGTCCATTTGATAGGTTGTAACAGGTTCACAAATAGGTATGTTGTACTGCAGTACTAATAAGAAATGTTAGTGGAAGTAAACTGCATCCTAACTCTTGTAGAAGTAAACTCTGTCCTAACTGTAGGTGTTGTCAGATACTACCCAGTTTTTGTGGTCCCATTTGCTTAATTTTTTAATAGCATTTTTCAGCTGCATATTACAGAAAATGATAGTTTAACTATAGCAAAACCAAAGTTAGAGCATGTGAAATAATGCTCTTGTCGAATAGACAGATGTTAGTATGGGCTACTGCTGCTGTAATCTGTCTAAATCAACAATATGCTGTGAGGTCAGTAATCTCGAGATTTTTTTTGAAAAGCTGTAATATCCCAGAGCTGACAGACCACAGGCAGAATGCTTTCATGCTGTTTGCCATATGACTCTCCATTTAGGAGATGCAGTTTATGTATCTTCCCTGACACATTAAGCATAGCATGACACAAAGTTCACAACTAGTTAGGACCTTAATTTAGGGTTCTACACAGGTTTTGTTTTTTAATTTAATTTAAATTCCAAAGAAAAACGAGTGCAATCAGTTGTTTATAATGAAGTTTTGTTTTGTGACCAGAATGTGAGATGTACATCAACTCACCAGTTTTTCTTGAAAGAAGTAGAGACTCATTAGAGTATCAGTTTATGCAAATTAAAGATGTTCCAAGATGAACTTGTTTTTTCAGACATAGAGCTTTTCTAAGTGATCTTGGTTGCCCACTTCTTATTAAAACTGTAAGTTACTTGAAATGTGGACATGTATTTCTGGACATTAATCATTTTAGTAGTGCTATGAAAGTTAAAATTCGTTAATTGACTGTCTGAAAGTATTCCCTTTGTTGTGGTTTAACCCCAGCCGGCAACTAAGCACTGCACAGTCACTCACTCCTCCTGGTGGGAAGGGGCAGAGAATTAGAAAAAAAGGGTAAAACCTGTGGGATGAGATAAAGACAGTTTAACAGAACAGCAGAAGAAGAGAAAATAATAATAATGATAAAAGAGTATGGAAAACAAGTGATGCATGATGCAATTGCTCACCATCTGCTGACCGTTCCCAGCCTGTCCCCAAGCAGCAATCGCTGCCCCCCTGGCCAGCCCCCCGGCTTTCTATACTGAGCATGATATCACTGGTCTGGAGTAGCCCCTTGGCCAGTTGGGGTCAGCTGTCCCGGCTGTGCCCCCTCCCAGCTCCCTGTGTACCTGGCAGAGCAGGGGAAGCTGAAAAGCCCTTGACTGGTGTAAGCACTGCTCAGCAACAACTAAACTATCAGTGTGTTAGCAACATTCTTCTCGCTCTAATTCCAAAACACAGCGCTATGCCAGCTACAAGCAAAAAGATTAACTCTATTCCAGACGAAACCAGGACACCCTTTTGACACGTTTCTAAGGAGTTCCCATTCTTACTTTAATCTTCATTTATCTTTTTTGGAATGTCAAACCAGATTCTGTTCAACTGGTTAATTTCTTTTTTGATTTTAGAAGAATACATACACTTTCAAATGCATAATTACATTTAATTAGAAAGCAGAATTTTATTTAGTCCGACTTTTGCTTTTATCTGGTGTCCTGGAAGAGAGCTATACAATAAGACCTTTACTCATAAAATCCAATATTCTTGTGTAAGTAGGCTGTCCTGGGGTTAAAATATCAGATAAATAATATCTTAAGCAAGTGCACTTCTGCAGCTCTAAACATGCTATAAACTTCCCTTTTTCTCATAATACAGGCACAGTCTACCTAGTACTAGCTCAGAAACCTTACAAAGACTGCTTGCTATGGTTTGTATAGTTTTTCCTTGCCTAATTCAGCTTGTGGGTTTTGTGTTGGTGTTTTTTTTTTTTTAATAATCTGTCCTCTGTTCCCTCCCCACTGTTGTTTTGGTTAGTATTATCAATCTTGCTGTTTCTTCCTTGATAAAATTCTTGGCATCTTTAACGCTTGTCTCTTTGAAGTTGTGAAGGTGGCTGAGCATTGTATATCTTGAATTCGAGGTAGGCCTCTGCTGTAAAGAGAATGGACTTGAAAAGGCTTGATGTAAATCTTCAATTCTAACTTTGGTTTGCTTTTGTGTGTCTTACTAAGACATGTTCGTTTGGCACTTGGTAGAGCATCTATGCTAAATTCTGTCTCTTTTACTGATGTGGATGTATTCTGCATTAATATATTTGGCTTTGTAGTGTTTGAAGTTACATTTATCTAGATTAATTTGCTTTTGAGTTAAGACTGGAAGTTATAATGGCAGAAAACAACTGCTTAAAGTGGCAATCATAAAGTAAAAGATCTTTGAGTTTCTCGGGTATGTCACCTTTTTCCTTACCTGGACTCCTTGCATTTAAAACTGGCTTTTAAAATTGTTCATAGTTGATCCAGAGACTTAGCCATTTGGTACTTTTGTTGGCTCTACTTGCAGTTATTGTATAGCTCATTCTTTCAAAGGGAGGAGGAATGTAATTTTTGGTGCATCTTCATGCTGTCTACCAATTAATTCATTCAGAGTTGAAAATCAATTCTTTCTTATTTTGTATGAAACTGTGTTAACAAAATTCAGTTTTGCATTTCATGAAGCTCTTGTTGCATGTTCCTAATCAGATTTCCCACTGTACAAAGTCTTTAAACTTTTAAAATTTCAGCAAACTGCTCTTACCTGTAGGCACAAGGCACTCTTCTTAGCACCAGCTGGAGCAACTACCCCTGAGTATTAGAGGCCTCAACTCAGACCGAGCCCCCAAGGGAGGGTCCAGGTCTTCAAGTCTGAAGGAAACCCCTGCTGCCTCTTGCTGAGGCTGGGGCAGGGGGAAATTTTGTCCTCGCCTGCAGAGGCTGTGTGCTTGGTTGAAGATTTGTGTTGCCAAGTAAAGGAGATGCAGGAGTAGGTCAGCAGAGTGCACAGCATCCGAGATGACAAAAAGGAAATTGCATCTTCTCCAGGATCCAGGCATGAGCTTGAACCCCCAGCTGTACTGAGGGAAGGGCAGGCTGAGCCTCTGCTTGTTATATGATGGCAAAGGCTGGAAACTGGTGACTTCTTGTAAAAGAAAGAACTCTCATTCTCTGCCTGCACATCTGCATCTATAGAATGTGTTCAGTGCTCTGATAGCAGATGAGAAGCAGGAAGCTCTGTCCAACAAATCATCTGAGCCTGTACAATGCACTAGCACCATGAGGAATTAGTGAGTAATAGTAGTGGGAGACTCCCTCATACTGGAGATGGAGGTTTTCTCATCACTCCTGCTGGTGAGGAAGAACAGCTTCAGGAGGAGTAGGTGGATTGTGCAGGTCACCAACCGGTTGCACAGCTCGTGGTGACAAGGGACTTGGCTTTTATGACTATGGATCCCTATTTAAGGAAGAGATGGGATCCACCAGGCCAAGTGAGGCAAAAGTGGTTTTGTGAACAGGTTAATGAACCTGGTGAGGAGGATTTATGCTAGGAATGGTGGTTGTAGTCTGAGTTGGCAAACAAAGAGTGCAGGATGGCGTGGATGAGAGACTTCATAATCAACAAATCGGACTGACCTGCTTCAAGCATAAGCACATGACAAAATGTGTACAAAACAACGTGATGGTGAAAGCGCTCTCTTTTTCTGGGAAATGAGCACAGCTATGTGTTAACAGCTGAGGTGGGGTCATGAGAGCAGCAGGAAGGTGTGATGTTGTGCCTTAGGACAAAGGAGGCAGCTGAGAGTTTATGGATTAGGGTTAGAGGGCGGGCTAACATGGATGACATTGTGGTGAGTGTCTGCTACAGACCACCTTATCAGGAAGAAGACTTAGGTAAGGCCTTCTTCAGCTAACAGGAGGAAACATACATTTGCAGGCCCTGGTTCTCAGGGGACGTATGAGCCATTCCAATACCTGCTTAGAGGGGCAGAACAGCATGGCACGAGCAGTCCAGGAGACTTCTGGAGTGCATTGGTGTTAACTTCTTGACACAGGTGACTGAGGAGGTGGTGAGAGGATGTGCTCTGTTGAACCTGGGTAGAGATGTGAATGTCAGGGGAGCAGCCTTGCTGCAGTGTCCATGAGATGGTGAAGTTCAAGATCCTGAGAGACGGGAACAAGGCAAAAAGACCACAAGCCTGGACAGCAGATTTTGGTTTTTTCAGGATC